AGTTCACTAAAATTCACTCTTAATCTTTTCTTCCGCTCTAAAGACTACACTGAAGTTGAACACAGTGGTGCGCCTGTAGTCCCAGCCACTCAGAGAAGGCTGAGGCAGGAAGACTGCTGGATCCCAGGAGCTCAAGTCCAGTCTGAGCAACATAGCACACGAGGGTGGACCCAAAGAAAACTGAAATTTTTTGGTGGGCAGCCCCCTTGAAGTACGGGTTTCCCTGCTAGGTAAGTATTCCAGGAACCCATCAGCATCAGTGCACCAGCTAGCATCGTTGTAAGAGGCTGCACTTGGCTTCAGTGAATTTTTAGGGGGGATTCTTTCAACGCATTTATTTGTCCATTTCACGATAGGTGATTTACAAGTGCACCTGCCCACACCTTGTTGACTGTTCAGCAGTTTGGTACCAAAAATAACATGACTCTCATGCCCCACACTCTCTATTCACTCAATCTCACCCTGAGTGACTTTTTTTATTTCTCTGAATGAAGAAAGTCCTCAAAGGGAAACATTTTGCCAATGTAGAAGAGGAGAAACAATAAAACGGCAGAATCACTAAAAGGCACCAAAACTGATGAGTTCAAAAACTGTTCTGAGCAGAGGAAAAAGTGTCTCAACAGGTATATTGCATCAAATGACGAGTGTCTTGAAGGTGACTGAAGTTTAAACATGTAAGAATAAATACACAATTTTTGATAAATAAATTCCAGTTTTTTCCATCCCCCTTGTAGGCTCCCATTTCAAAAAAAAAAAAACAACACAAAACTATCTAAAACCAATTTGGTTAACTTTTTCCCTTAACAAACATCACTAGAGAAAAGCAAGAAGTCATTAACAATGATTGGATTTTTGTTTGTTTGGGGGGGGGGTTGTTTGTTTTGTTTTGTTTTTGAGTAGGAGTCTCACTCTGTCACCCAGGCTAGAGGGCAGTGGCACGCTCACAGGAGATTCTTCCACTTCAGACTTCCAAGCAGCTGGAACGACAGGCATACACCACCACGCCCAGTTAATTTTTCTTGATTTATTGTAGAGATGAAATCACGCCCAGTTACCCAAGCTAGTCTTGAACCCATGGGCTCAGGCAATCCTCTCACCTCAGCCTCCCAAAGTGCTGGGATTATAGGCATGAGCCACCATGCCCAGCCTGTTTTTTGTATTTGGTTGTTTTGTTTTGTTTTGTTTTGTTTTTGAGTTGGAGTCTCACTCTGTCACCCAGGCTGGAGTGCAGCGGCATGCTCATAGCCACCACAGCCTTGACCTGCTGTGCTCAGGTGATCCTTTTGCCTCAGCTTTCCAAGTAGCTGCAGCTACAGGTGCGCACCACCATGCCCAGCTAATTTTTTGATTTATTGTAGAGACGAGGTCTCGCCAAATTGCCCAGGCTGGTCGTGAACCACTGGACTCAGGCAATACTCTTGCCTTTGCCTCCCAAAGTGCTGGGATTACAGACGTGAGCCTCCGTACCTAGCCATGGTTGGATGTTTAAAGTCGCTTCTTTTTTGCATTGTAGTCATTTTTAATAGGTTGTTTTAAGTTGTTATAGAGTTAAGAAAATAAAAATATTACCTTTTTAGATAAGAATAAAACATTTGTGGCCAGGCTCGGTGGCTCAGCTTGTAATTCCAGCACTTTGGGAGGCCGAGGCAAGTGGAATGCCTGAGCCTACAGGTTTGAGACCAGCCAGGACAACTTGGTGAGATCCCATCTCTACAATGTATCAAAAATTAGCCAGGTGTGGTAGCACATGCCTGTAGTTCCAAGTACTTGGAAGACTGAGGCAGAAGGATAGCCTGAGCCCAGCAGGCCAATGCTGGGGTGGCTGTGAGCGTGCTACTGCACTCCAGCCTAGATGACGGGGTAACATTTACAAAGCAACAATAAGCATTTTCCATTGGGTTGAATGCAGAATGTCCCATTAATTTTTAAATAAACTAAGTTTTAACCATTATTACAGACTTACAGGTTCATGTACAAGTCTCCAAAATAAAGATTTAATGGCACCAACCTTTGTATACTGTGAAAGTAAAGTTTAAAAAAAATTAAAACAAAAAGAAAGCAAAAAGAGGTATGGACTACAGAATTGCTTTTTAATACTTTTTAAGAGGGGAAAAAAATTCCCCTTTCTCAAAGGAAACTGCTTTAAAATGATGTAATCTGGATCTAAGATGTCTAAAATCTTTTAATAGTATTCCTGAATTCATATTAGTATTCGACAATCTATAATAATAACACTAGATGCTAGGAGTGGTCTAGGTCCTTTTTACATGTATCTTATTCAATCTTTACAACAACCCTATGAGATAGGGACTATTACTATCTTATACATTTTACAGATAAGAAAAGTGAGGCACAAAGAGATTAATTAAACAACTTGCTGTTAGTCACACTAATATTAAACGACATCTTTATTTCTTCTGTTTTGCTGAGAAAAAGGGACCTGAGACACTCACTCCATGAAACACAAGGGAGGGGGTTAAATAATCAGTTTGTCTGATCTTCATCCCAGACAGCAGATGCCATAAATCCCTGATGTGAGATGAGGCTGCTACTACCAAAGGAAATATGCTGAGATTAATATCCAAGATAAGACAACCTATCTGTTCACAAGATCATACTTGTTAACAGATCTGGATGCTGTATTGTTTCAAAGGTAGTCACATCATTATTAAGCTTCTAAACGGAAAAGTCATTGCCCCTTCTCCTGTCATCTGGGTGTCACTGGGTATTCTTCCACACAGACTGTCTTCAACAGTTTAAAGTTTCCAAGTTTTTATACTATGCAAATCTAAATAAAGACATTTCTGTACTGTAGACAGAGCAGTGTTTCAACTCCCTTTTTGTTTGTTTGTTGTTTTTTATTATTATCTTTATTTTAAAGATGTGGGGTACAATTCAGGGTTAGGTACATAAGTGGTCATAATACAGGTAAACTTTGGGTACCCTTATTGATGTTATATGCCTCTGCCCACCCACCCCCCCTCCGGCCCCGCCACCCCACCCCCTGCCGGCAGCATCCCACTACTGCCAATCGCTTTTTTGTAGTATTATGACAAATGTTCAGGGCCTGCTTATGAGTGAGTATATGTAGTTCTCAGATCTTTGTTCTGTGATAAGTCACTGAATATTTTAGACTCTAAATCTATCCAAGTTGCTGCAAAGTCCATAATTTGGCTTTTCTTTGTGGCTTTGTGCATAATATTCCACCATGTATATGTACCACATTTTCTTTATCCAGTTCATTTTCGATGGGCAGCATGCTTGGTTCCATGTTTTTGCTATTGTGAATAATGCTGCAATAAACATGCGTATGCAAGACAAGGCTGCCCACTCTCATCCCTCCTGTTTCAACGTCTTTAAATTTTCTTTGCCAACATTTAGGAAAAGGAAAAAAATGAAACATTATCCTAAAAAGTCTCTAGTCTCACTAATCACATTGGTGGAACAGTCTCATCACATTTACAACTCTTCAAACCACTGTTTATAAAAAATTAAAAAATAAAAACACCTCTCCCAGAGAGCACAGAAGACTTTCTTTAAAGAGAATATTAAAACTGCTTTCACCTTTCAGAGTGTGTTGGAGATTTTGGCACTTGGTGGCTGACTAGAGAAAACAGTGAAACTTAAAAGCACTGTTATCTCATATCAGAGATAGCAAGTATAACCACAAGGAATACAAGTAAATATAGGTGGTGAACACCAGCAGAGCTCATCCCAGTCAGACCAAAGCACAGGTAAAAGGAGCAAGGACATGCCCATTTTACACTCTGAGATTTTCAATAACACCTCCCAACCTCTTCACTTTCCTCTAAGATAACTGAGATACCACCAATAGGAATGTTCTGTTGAAAAATGATAAAACATCAAGAATTACTATAGTGCATTTAAGCAGATCTACAGAGTGCACCTGGATTCAGACTATGTGGCTACAACAACCAGTTCAGAAAGGTAGTCTCTACATTCTTTGCCAATGATGGGAGAATTCAGGTAAAAAAGAAATTCAAGGCATTTTCCTATCCAATACACATTGGCTACGTTTAGTTCTCTTTGGGAAGAAAAAAAATATCTAAAAATCTCATGGGACAAAAAATTCCTAGCAGCTTTTTGTATGACCTTGAGCTCTACAGTCTTTGTTACTAGCTTTGTGACCTATGCAACATGATGACTATATCCTGAACCATTAAAGGCAAGTTCATTCATTAAGGGTCATAAGGAGCCGGACTCAGTGGCTCAGCCTGTAATCCCGCGCCTTTGGGAGGCTGAGGTGAGTGGATTGCCTGAGCCCATGGGTTCAAGACCCACCTGGGCAACTTGGTGAGACCTCATCTCTACAATAAATCAAAAAAATCAGCCGGGCGGGTAGCGCACGCCTGTAGTTCCAGCTACTTGGAAGGCTGCGGCAGAAGGATCGTCGGAGCCCAGCAGGTCAAGGCTGCAGTGGCCAGGAGTGGCCACTGCACTCCAGTCTGGGCGACAGTGAGACTCCAACTCAAAAAAAAAAAGGGTCAAAAAGTTCAAGTTCCTTCAGCATTTGTGGGTCTGCTCCTGCCAAGAAGTTTTTTCACTCCTCATTTATGCTAACAAACATAAGCAAATTAAATTTAACTCATTAAGAGAAATTCATCAACCATTAAAATAAGAAAAAGATTCCCAGGCCCCGAGTTAGCTGTTGAAAATTGACTTCTGGGGCTAGCCTCACCTAATACTTAGAAATTATGAAAAAGACCCAGGCACAGAAACTCAAGTCCATTCTACCATGAAATTGTATGCAAGTATTCTAGAAATCAACCAATCATTATAGCCCATTAATGGTATTCAATAAGATTAATAAATATTTAATAAAATCAGAAGAAACATCTCGTGCAAGATTTCTGACTCAACTGATTATATAATTTATTTAAACATTAGTCAGAGCTAACTCAGAAAAAAAATAATAAATTACTCCTGATTTCTTTTAAGACTGCAAATAAACAAAAGCTGGGAAAGAGAGGAGAGCTCACCTGGCCGGTGTCTGTTGGCTGCTTCGGCAGGAAGTGAGCTGCCCTGGAACCGCCGAGCCCCACTCTTACCACCTGTTCCACCTGGATAGTGATAGATGACGGAAGCTGAACACAGCCCCTCAAGGGCGGCTGGGCATTAAAAAAAAAAGATTAATTAGTAAAGTTAGTGGCCCATCATTAGTTCAAATTACAGTGGCTAAGAATGATTTAAACTGTTGGATTATTTGGAAATGCAAATTTTTCCTCAAAACAAAGATCAAACCTAAAGTTCACTAGTTTTATTTGCAAATAGGAACTTACCACCTATCTTTCCCATGTCCATGTCAAGGCTGGCAACACAGAACACTCTCATCATGCTCAAGGCTTCACTGCAGGGCTGAGTGTACATGTTCAACAGGCTAGGCTCCTCATTCATTCATTCATTCAAATAACCAGCAATTTTTTTTTTTTAATTGGAGTCTCACTCTGTCACCCAGGCTAGAGTACAATGGCATGCTCATGGCCACCACACCCTTGACCTGCTAGGCTCAGGTGATCCTTCCACTTCAGCCTTCCAAGTAGCTGGAACCACAGGCATGGACCATCATGCCCAGCTAATTTTTTTATTTATTGTAGAAACAAGGTCTCGCCAAGCTGCCCAGGCTGGTCTCAAACCCCTTTACTCATACAATCCTCTCACCTCTGCCTCCCAAAGTTCTGGGATTACAGGCCTGAGTCACTATGCTCAGCCGACCAGCATTTTTTTTTTTTTTTTGAGTTGGAGTCTCACTCTGTCACTAGGCTGGAGTGCAGTGGCACACTCACAGCCACCCCATCATTGACCTGCCAGGCTCTGGCGATCTTTCCACCTCAGCCTTCCAAGTAGCAGACTGAATGTAGAAGCAAATAGACAAAATAAAAAGCAGCTGACTTGTGTTAAATCAGAAGTTAAAGAAATCTGTAAAAATGTAAAACAATGCCATTCTTCCAGTATTTTATTTTTGTTATAGAAAACAGTTGTCTTCCGTAAAAATGTTAACACATGGCCGGGCTCGGTGGCTCAGCCTGTAATCCCAGTGCTTTGGGAGGCTGAGGTGAGTGGATTGCCTGAGCCCGTGGGTTCAAGACCTGCCCGGGTCACTTGGTCAGACCTCATCTCTACAATAAATCAAAAATTAGCTGGGTGTGGTAGCATGCACCTGTAGTTCTGGCTACTTAAAGGTTGAGGCGGAAGGATCACCAGCGCCCAGCAGGTCGAGGTTGTGGTGGCCAGGAGCATGCCCCTGCACTCCAGTCTGGGCGATGGAGTGAGACTTCAACTCAAAAAAAAAAATTGTTAACATATGACAGGCTTATTGTCTTTTTTTATTTTTTTTATTTTTTGGAGTAAAAGTCTTACTCTGTTGCCCAGACTGGAGTGCAATGGCATGCTCACGGTTACTGCAGCCTCAACCTGCTGGGCTCAGGTGATACTTCTGCTTCAGCCTTTCAAGTAGCTGGAACCACAGGCATTCGCCACCATGCCCAGCTAATTTTTTATTTATTGTAGAGACAAGGTGTCACCAAGTTGTCCGGGTTGGTCTCAAACCCGTGAGCTCAGGCAGTCCACTCACCTTGGCCTCCCAAAGTGCTCAGATTACAGGCCCACTGAGTCCAGCCCGACCAGCTTTTTTATATATATTTTCTGGCAGACTCTGTGGCAGGTTCTGTAGCTAGAGATGTGTAGCAGGAAATGCCACGGATTAAAAAGATATAAAAGTAATACCACTAAAGCAGGGCCAGAATGCCTTTCCATACCACACACCCCAAATGCACTGTTCCTTGTGGGGCTGTAGATCTGTCCCATCCTAAAGAGCAGCCATACCTTCTTGCTGCACATCTGGTTCCTCTCTCATCAGCAGTTACAGTCTAATACTCTCAACCTCTGCCACACGCCTTATAAGTTGTACTGCAGTATTCATCTTTATCATCTTTATTCTTTAATTCAGCAGTTCTTAAACTTTTGGTCTCAAAACTCCTTGACTCTCTTACAAATTACTAAGAACCACACAGAGCTTTTTTTTTTTTAATGTGGGTTATACCTATAGATATTTACCATGTTGGAAAATAAAACTGAGAGAAGACTCTAAATATTTATGTATTAATTCCTTTTAAAATATTATAATGGACGGGTATGAAGGCTCACACCTGTAATCCCAGCACTTAGGGAGGCAGAGGCAAGGGGAGTGCCTGAATTCAGGGGTTCAAGACCAGCCTGGGTAACTTGGCAAGACTGCATCTCTACAATAAATCAAAAAATTAGCCAGGTGTGGTGGCGAACACCTGTGGTTCCAACTACTTGAAAGGCTGAGGCAGAAGGATCACCTGAGCCCAGCAGGCCGAGGCTGCAGTAACTGTGAACGTGCCACTGCACTCCAGCCTGGGCAACTTGGTGACAGCATGGGCAACTTGGTGACAGCCTGGGCAACAGAGTAAGAATTTTACTCAAAAAAAAAAAAAAAATGACAATAAGCCTATCATGTGTTAATATTTTTACAGAAGACAACTGTTTTCCATAACAAAAATAAAATACTGGAAGAATGGCTTTGTTTTACATTTTTACAAATTTCTTTAACCTCTGATTTAACACAAGTCAGCTGCTTTTTACTTTGTCTATTTGCTTCTGCATTCAGTCTGCTGCCACATCAAGCATCATGCAGTCTCTGGACAACTCCACTGTCTACCTCTGAGAGACTGAAGTGGAAGAGGCCAGCAGCACACAGCAGTGTTCCTCTCTGTGCATACTGTAGGAGCCCTTCTGAATCAGTCCAGCACTGTCTGAGGGAGGCACATGAGCAGTACTAGTCTTTCTGGCTAAGAGTCTACTGCACAGGCCCTAGTCTTACAGCACACTGAGAGTAGATATATTCTACCAGTCAATACAAAGTACTTACAAAGACAGTCCTTTCAAGAAAATCAAGTAAAACTCAACATTCTGTCTTTCTCATCCTTCTTAATGTTTTATCTGTTTCTCTTTGCTTTTCCATCTATTTTCCTAGTTCTCACTCTTTCTTTCCCCACATTTTTCTATCCTCTTCAAAAAGGCAAATTATAAAATTTAAGTCTATTTTAAGTATTTATTATATTTGATGTATTCTATAGCACTCTGTTAAACTTCTATTACAAGGCCAGGCTCAGTGGCTCAGCCTGTAATCTCGTGCTTTGGGAGGCTGAGGTGAGTGAATTGCCTGAGCCCGCGGGTTCGAGACCCACCTGGGCAGCTTGGCGAGACTTCATCTTTACAAAAAATCAAAAAATTAGCCAGGCGTGGTAGCATGCACCTGTAGTTCCAGCTACTTGGAAGGCTGAGGCAGAAGGATCGCTGGAGCCCAGCAGGTCGAGGCTGTGGTGGCCGGGAGTGGCCACTGCACTCCAGTCTGGGGGACTGAGTGAGACTCCAACTCAAAAAAAAAAAAAAAACTTCTATTACAGAATTTACTTCATTCTGACTTGTGTTATCTTTTTTTTCTAATAATTTTTTTTTTTTTTAAGTCAGGGCCTCACTCTGTCACCCAGGCAGGAGTCTAGTGGCATAATCACGGCTCACTGCAGCCTCAACCTGGGGCTCAGGTGATCCTCCTATCTCAGCCTACTGAGTAGCTAGACTACAGGCATAAACCACCATGCACAGTAATTTTTTTTTTTTTTTTGTAGAGATGAGATTTCACTATGTTGTCCAGGCTAAAATTGAACTCCTAGTCTCAAGCAATCCTCCCACCTCAGCCTCCCAAAGGGCTGGGATTACAGGCGTGATACACTGCACCCGGCCCTTATATTATCATAACATCTAAGTATATGTGTACAACAAGCCAGCCACCTCATTCATTCATTCACATGACCAGCATTTTTTTTCATACAACATTAGTTATTTATTATTGTCTAGCAGGCTCTGTGCCAGGTTTTAGAGCTACAGAAATGTGTAGCAGGACATGCCCCGGATTAAAAATATGTAAAAGTAATACCACCAAAGCATACATAACTGGCTGACAGGCCCCCCTCACTAGGCTGTCAACTTCAAAAAAAGAACCATATTTTAGACCTTATACAACATTCATTCAACAAGTATTTAAATATCTGCAGCATGATAGGCACACCCAGATGAGAAAAATGCAGTTCATGTCTCCCAGTCCCACCCTCAAGAGACACAATTGTTGAAGAAAAAAAACACATAAACACACAATTCCAACACAAAGGGTCAGCTCTGAAGCAGAGAGTTCTAACTCTGCCTGGCTGCCTAAAGGGATCAGAAAAGGGGCTGTTCTTTGAAAGTAGGTTTTCTTCTTGTTTTTCTTTTAGTTTTTAAAATTGACATATAATTCACATACCATACAATTCCACCACTTTAAGTGTATAATTCAGCAGTTTTTAATGTCTTCACAGTTGTGCAACCATCAACACTATCTGATTCCGGAATGCTTTCATCACCCCAAAAAGAAACTTTATGTCCATGAACAGTCACTTCCACTCCCCTTCTTCCCAGCCCCTGGCTACCAGCAAATCCGCTTTCTACTTCTACAGATTTGCCTATCCTGCACACGTCATATAAACAGAATCATACAACAGGTGGCCTTTTGTGTCTGGCTTCTTTCACTTAGTTGTCAAGCTTCATCCATGCTGCAATGGTATCAGTATTTCATTCATTTTTAAGGCTGAATAATATTTCCCTGTATGTATATACCACATTTTGTTTTGTTTTGTTTTGTTTTGAGTTGGGGGTCTCACTTTGTCGCCCAGACTGGAGGGCAGTGGCCACTCCCGGTCACCGCAGCCTCGACCTGCTGGGCTCCGGCAATCCTTCCACCTCAGCCTTCCAAGTAGCTGGTACTACAGGCACGCGCTACCACACCCAGCTAATTTTTGATTTATTGTAGAGATGAGGTCTCGCCAAGTTGCCCAGGCAGGTCTCAAACCTGCGGGCTCAGGCAAGCCACTCACCTCAGCCTCCCAAAGGCGCGGGATTACAGGCTGAGCCACCGAGCCCAGCTACATTTTGTTTTTCCATTCAACATTTGATTTATGAAAGAAGTTTTGAAGAATGAGTATGAGCGGTGAAGACCCTGGGGAATGGCATTATAGCAGAGGGCAAGATGTGCTAAGAACATAGGAGGAAGGAAGAACAGAGGCCTGCTGTGCAGGGTGGGCAAGGAAGTGATGTGCAGATGGCAGGGCAGTCACTCCAGACAACTCCTCATGGTGACCAGCACAGTTTGGCTGATTTTCCTCCCTCATCCTTTCTTGTTAGCGATTTTTTTTATTCTGTTTCCTCACATTTCAAATAACAGTTGATACAATTATATATTAGATCATCTTCCTCAGATACTCTCACCTCCAAGCCACAGAAAGTCATTCACTGAGCGAAGAAGTTCCACCGACATGTGGTAATGCACCAGAGAGTCCTGCAGCATCCCTGCCTGAAGGCAGAGATCCCCCACATGTTTCCGCATGCGTCCTTGGCACCGCTTCTTGTAGTGTCTAAGAGATAAGTGAAGATGTGTCATTATTCCTACACGACTCCCACCCAGAAAGCACACTGACAAAGCACTACTCAATTCTCTCTCTACTTAAAAACGCTAAGAAGACAACTATTGGCTCTATAATTGAAAGCCAGCCACAATCATTGCCAGTTATTTGAGCTGGAGTGGTCCTTATTTCAAAAATTTACTGCCAAGTGGTTTTTAAAGGCAATAGATATATAAGACTTCTATCAAGTATTATACTTGGACAACATTAGAATAGGATTTTTCTTTTCAGATTTTCCAATTGCAGTATTAGCATAAGAAAGTTTATGTTTCAGCTTTTAAAAAAATCAATTACCTTCCACTTTTTTAACTTCAAATCTATTATTATTTTATAAAGAGAGATATGCGGCATATTCACCAGCCATTTGGCTTTAGCAAACAAGACCTTTATCTTCACTATTTCAGAGCAAGCTTTACTAATGCTTTCAGAGGGCAAGGCCTGGGGTGCGCACAAGCAGCTCTTTAAATATTGGCAAGGATATGCTATTAAATAATTCAAAGGCTTCTAAATCCATGTCAATTCAGAAACCAAAGCAACTATACCAAAATCTTCCTTTATCATTTTTAAATATTTCTAATCTTTTGAATATTAAATTTAAGAGAACTGATTTTTCTAAAAGGAAAACAGCAGCTGTATTAAATTTTTCCCTCACCAAGAAAGCAATCTTATCAAGAATAAAATCCCTATGGAAATCTTTATGGAAGTGTGGAAGTGTAAAGTTTCTAACTACATGAATGCTATTGACAGAGCTCAACATTAATTTAAATCCTATCAGGTCTAACTCTAACAAGTTCAACAAACTCTTTCCTACACTGGAATTTAACTTTTCTGTTCCAAATATTGTTTGAATTAAGGTCATGATGCAAAGCAGAGTTAAAGAAAAGAAACACTACCCTTCATTTGCCTTCTCCCTAGCCACAAGGTGGTATTAGGATGGACCCTGCTAATGAATTCTCCCCATAAAAAAATACTACATCTATACCGCTCCTCCCATCCCAGACAGAGGTCACCTCAACAGCCTCTATCTGGTCTCTGACTCCCCGCTCTGTACCCCTACTTCATTGCTTCTGCACACACAGCCAGAGTGGCCTTCCCAAAGCACAAATAAGACTGTATCCCTCAATTTCAAATCCTTCAAAAGATGCCCAATTCAGGGAGACATGTTCACAGGAGTCTGCATCAGCTTGCACCTTCCCCAGCTCTGCCACCTTCCTGCCACCTCGCCCTTGAACTCCACATGCCTCACTGTAGTACCAGAGCCCCAATCTCAGGCTCTATCTGCCTGCAACTTTCCACTCTCCTTCAGGCTCATTTTGACCACCAGTTTCTCAAGGAAGTGTTCCCTACCTCCAACCTCTATGCTTTGAGTTAGGTATTCTTGCTGTGTTCCTAGAACATTCTATACTGAATCAATGTCTGACATGTATAAACTTCAAAAAGGCAAGTATGCTTTCTTACTATTGTAGGCCCACTCTTCTACCCTGGACACTCACAGATGCGTTTGTTATGAATTAACAAATGAACAGATGGGTCTCAGAGGGACAGAGAGGCTGCTTTCCTCCATCCTAATCCCTTCTTTTGGCTGAACTGTCAGCAGAGGCAAAGCAAGAAACACATTCCCAAAATGTCACTCCTTGCTGAAACTCCTCACTGTCTCTCTCTGCAGTCAGTTTTAATAAAAACTGAGCGCCTCCAAAGCCCTCCACAACCAGGCTCTCTCCAGTGTTCTCCCTAGCTGGGCTACTGCTTTCACCCTGAACTCCAGGACATGGAACACTTAGAGCTTTTCAGCACCAAGTACTTTCCCCAAACCCTTGCCTCACAGCCTCCAGGACTCTACCCAGGCTGCTCCTCCCACCAGAGCCACCCACCTTGCCTGTTCACCTCTGCTTTCAGAACTCAACGCAGAGTCCTCTTCTCCCAAGAAGTCTTCCCTGATAATGTCCTTTAGCTCTTGGCTGGGCTTCCTTCCACAATAGGACTGCTTAGTTACTGAGTATTTATCTATCTCCTCCATTAAGACCATAACCTCACTGAGGGAATTCGGAAAGATGATATAGAGATGAGAAGAGAGAAAGAAGGGGCAAAAATCAAAATCATAGCCCGGCCCCAAATTCAACGATTCTTTCATATGTGCCATATGCCACTGAAATTGTTATGGAGAAAAAGTTCAATTAAACTACTGTAAAAGTCTCTTACTCTAATATCAACATAATGTACTAAATAAGGGTTATTTTATCTTCATCTGATATAAGAGGAGAGAATAACATAAACTGCATGGAATTTCAGGGAATACACTCCCTGTCATCCTGAGTAACAGAAGATTATTACTACATCTAGCTCATAAAAATGCAGTCCAGTGACTCTAACTTTCAAAGGCAGACAATGTTTTGCTCACTTTCTTGGTATGTCAGTCTGTTCTAACCAGGAAAAGAATGCAGTATACAAATGGACAGTTTCCTCCTCCAGTAACATAACTGTCAATTCTTAGTACATAGGTAAGCTTAGAAATACTACCATTATTTTGGCTCAATATATTTTGAATTAGACTTTTTTTTTTTAAACTTTACTCTCAACCAATTAGACAAAGATTTCCTTTTTAAACAAAAAAAAAACCCTGCCCTGGACTCTTCTAAAGAAATAAATTATGACCAGGCATGATGGCTCATGCCTATAACCCCAGCACTTTGGGAGGCCGAGGTGGGAGGATTGCTTGAGCCCAGGAGTTCAACACCAGCCTGGGCAACACAGTGAGATCTCATCTCTCCAAAAAAAAAAAAATCAAGAATTAGCCATGCTTGGTGGTGTGTGCCTGTAGTCCCAGCTATGTAGGAGGCTGAGACAGGAAGATTGCTTGAGCCAGGAGGCCTAACCTGTGGTGAGCTGTGATTGTGCCACTGCACTCCAGCCTGGGTGACAGAGTAAGACCTCAACTCAAAAAAAAAAGATATTTAAAGACCAGGCACCGTGGCTCATGTCTATAATCCCAGTACTTTGCGAGTTCGAGGTGGGAGAATGGAGTGAAGCCAGGAGTTTGGGACCAGCCTGGGCAACAAAGTGAGACCCCATCTCTACAAAACACACACACACACAAACACACACATACACACACACACAAAGGAAGTAAACTATTACATCTTCACATGCACTTAACAAAAGTGTACATCTGCTACAGTAAAATATAGCCCAGAAAATTTTCAAAAATATTTTTCTAGGAACTCCTTCTTTAAATTAATTAATTAATTATGAAGTACAACCATTGCAATAAAAAATTATTTTAAAAATATAAGATTTTTACAAAAAGCCATATAAATACTTTCATAGTTTTTCACATTAAAGTCATATTATTTGGTAACACCATATAAAATATTTAAAATTACATAAAAATGGAATGAATCCTAATACTTTGGGGGAACTCTTCAACTAGCATACAAACAAAAATCTACCTTAGATTTACATATAATGAAGTGCTTAACTCTCAGAGTTGTACTACATATCCCGAGAGAGAATCATCTCAAAACTATAAGCAATTCTGTTTATAACTCTTTGAAAAATAGAGTAAGAAAGAGCTAATAGAATTAAACTGACTCAATTTCTAGTTAGCTATGATATGGATAAACAACTAAAAGACGTTAAGCCAACTTTGGCAAAACTCAGAATATAAGCTTTCTCACCAAAATTATGTTTCCAAAAAGGCATGGATCCTTTCTTCTTTGAAAAAATGTATCAGATTTTTAAGTTACTCTAGATGATCTAAATTCTTATATATACAATTTAGAATCATTAATTGTATGATCATTAAATATGTCTAATGAATATGGACAAAAAACACACAAGCAAACAGTAAGTTAAAAAGAAAAAATATCAAGTCCAGTGGACCTTAAAGAAAAAGAATTATTAAAAAAAGAAAAATAGCCAGGTTCGGTGGCTCAGCCTGTGATCCCGCGCTTTGGTAGGCTGAGGTGAGTGAATTGCCTGAGCCCGCAGGTTCAAGACCCACCTGGGCAACTTGGTGAGACCTCATCTCTACAATAAATTAAAAAAACAGCCGGGCATGGTGGCGTGTGCCTGTAATTCCGGCTACTTGGAAGACTGAGGCGGAAGGATCACCGGAGCCCAGTAGGTCAAGGTTGCAATGACCAGGAGAGGCCACTGCAATCCAGTCTGGGCAACAGAGTGAGACTCCAACTCAAAAAAAGAAAAATATAGCATAAAGCCACAGGAGCAAATAAATTTAAAGTTAACACAAAACTCAATTTTTTTTTTTTTTTTTTGAGTTGGAGTCTCACTCTGTGGCCCAGACTGGAGTGCAGTGGCCACTCCCGGCCACCGCAGCCTCCACCTGCTGGGCTCTGGCAATCCTTCCACCTCAGTCTTCCAAGTAGCTGGAACTACAGGCACACGCTACCACGCCCGGCTCATTTTTTGATTTATTGTAGAGATGAGATCTCATCAAGTTGCCCAGGAAGGTCTTGAACCCGCGGGCTCAGGCAATCCACTCACCTCGGCCTCCCAAAGTGCTGGGATTACAGACTGAGCCACCGAGCCCGGCCTCAAATATTTTTTAAAATCTTTAATTTGTTGCAAATGTTTAAATAGTGACTTCAAAGCTATGAACAACAGAACTTAGCCACAAAAACTTGAATATGTTCTCAATACTTTTATTTTTTTTTAATGATTTTATGTTATTTCATTATTCCTACAAGTTATAAACACTGAGCTATAAGGATTGACCTGATAATTCCCCAATTCATGATGGTCTAAAATCAATCACAGCTCAGTTGTATGCAAAGACCTGACAGTCTCCACAAATAAAGGGAAACACATCCTTTCTAGAAATTGCGTGAAAGCACCTAACACACAGCCTCAAACACAGTAACAGAGGGCACCCAAACTGTACCTCTTACTATACTTCACCCTTATTAAAATTCAATTAAAGGCATAGGCTGTAT